CCAGCACAGGCGGAGAAACCACCTTCCACAGACTGGCAGAAGCAAGCGAATTAACTAATTAGCTAAGGGAGCAACTCTTAACTGCAGGACAGCCAAGGGGCAGAGATCCATCCCTTTCAAAAGCAAGGGTTCCCAAACATGGGTCGCCCAGATGTTCTTAGACGAAAAGTCCGAGGGCCAGGATTTCTGGGAGTCGTAGTCCAAGAACATCTGGAGGCCACAAGGTTGGCAGCCACAGCTTTCTACCAAAGAACGCAAAGCGCTCCAGCTGGTTGTAGGAGCTGCGATCCACCCACACCAGTCAGGCTGCAAATGTGTACCTATTACAGAATGAACTTTACTAGCACGTGGACTTGATTAAGCATTTAATATAAGGTACGTGTTTGTGCATTTCAAGCTGAAGAGAACCTTACATACTTGTCAAGGTAAGTATTTTGAACCGGGCACATTTAGATCAACAAGGGAAGAAAAAAATTCAAAAAGGGAAGGAAAAAAAACGCACACAGTGATGTCAGGAAAGCAAAATAGATCCACACATGTGATAACTGCATTTTTAATGATAGTCCGTGGGAATTTATTTTTTGCTCTCTTAACATGTTATCAACCACAGCAAACTTCCAGCAAGGCTGGATTACACTATTTTCTGGCACAACAGAGGGAAGGTTGGGAAATGAAACCACAGTAAATGTGGACTGCCACAACCCACTACTGTACTTAAAATTTGCAGCATCCAAGCACATTCATGTTGTCCATTTAGCTGCAACCCGGACGCTCAGAAAGACAAAACTAGCAACAGCAGTAAACGGCAATTAATTGGGAACTGGTAGGAAAAAGGAAGTGGGGGAGCACTTGAGGGGTCCAAAGGCTCAGCCGAGCGCCGGACAGGGAGGCGTCCCAGTTATCTTGTTTTGGGACAAAAGATGACAGAGGCACAGCGGTGAGCCGCACAATGGGGGCCCCAGAGAAAGTGGGCCAAGCGCCGGCCCCACGGAGAGCAGGGAGACAAGGATATTTTAACTGGCCCAAGTCCCGCCGGAATGGTAATTCATTCAGCCTGGCTCCGACCTTGCTCTAGAAGTCTACGAGAGCAGCTGTCTCCCCACACGGGGAGTGCCCTCCAGATGTTTCGCACCACAGCTCCACGGCACAGCTCACTGCTGAGGCCCATAGTATACGTAGTTCCAAACAGCTGGAGGACACCGGGCGGGGAATGGGTGACCTAAGAGATCCCTTTCTGGGGGAGGAGGGAAAACAAGGGATGAATGTGACTGGGAGGAAGCCCACACATTGGGGCCGCGGGATGGCTTCCTTCCACGTCTGCTTCCAACACGTCTAAGGACACGGCTGTTATGAGCGAGCAGAGGGCAAAACCCTTCTGCGAGATCAAGGGATCTGCAAACAAGGAGTTAAAAGCATCTCATCCCACAATCCATTCTGTACCGCTATACATGAAACACTTAAGGTCCCTTCTCACCTGGGAGTTTCTTCTTCAAGGCATCCTTAGAACTGGCATAAATCATCTTACTCTTCAAGGGGGCAGACTCAGGCGCCCTAGAGGGAGAGAGACCAGCAACCTTAAGAACTGGATCCGGTTCACCCACAAACATGTTTTTTTCCCACAAGCCTCTATGAATCAAGACTAGGAGGGCACCGCTCAAAGGACAGGGATTCCAACGGAACACGAACCCTTCCCCTACACGGAGAACAAAGCGCTCGCGATGCCTTGGTTGTCTCTACTCGACAATGAGGGGAGCCACTGGCAACTCTGGTTAACTACTATATTCTCACAACAGCAGGGGGGTGGCACTCGACAATGAGGGGAGCCACTGGCAACTTTGGTTAACTACTATATTCTCACAACAGCGGGGGGGTGGGGGTGGCCAACATTCCCTATAAGTTTCTGTTCCGCTGCCTTTGCTCCCTGTGCGCGGAGCATCGCTCGGAACAGGAAGTAAACAAACCAGTTGCCTGTGCGCCACCAAAACGGAGCGCTGGGAGAGGATGAACATGGGGGGTGGCACAAAGGGATACAGAAAAATGTTTATTCTTTATGCTCCAGGTCTGGAGAGGATAAGGAACAAGGGGCATAGGCATGAAAAATGCACATTCAGCAGCCCTGGAAGTGCCTTGAGGTGAAAGAAAGGGCCCGTTTTTCCCCTGCTAAGGACCGTGAACGCTGGCGTAGAACACGCTCGCTGCTAGGAGACGTTCGGGGCTGTAGCCTACTCTGCTCTGGGCTTATGATACTAGACAAACTCTCACCTCAAACTAACTGACAAGAGGGAAGAAATGTGGCAGAATATCAAATCTCGATTCTATTGAAGAACCAACAAAAGCTCAGAATCTTCTCCTCCACTCCAGGTCCAGTTACCTGCTCTCTATTGAAGAACCAACAAAAGCTCAGAATTTTCTCCCACTCCAGGTCCAGTTACCTGCAATTATGCAAAAAGGCAAATTGGGGGGTATCGTAGGACTCTCCAGGTGACAGTACAGCTGCAAAGGCCACCAATCCTCACCATTTACGATGAAGGCTAGACCTGCTGGAAGCTGTATCCTAACCTCTGGGATGACACCCCACCCCCACCTTCCTGAAGAAGCAACAGCCTTTGGGTCAACTTCTCAACAACACAACGGGTATTTAAACTGAGTGGCAGAACAGCTATGGGATGAGTTGCCTCTTGAGATCTGGATGCATGGCCAGGGACGCACCCTGCTGGGGTCGATTCAGACTGGGAGGACTGGAATAGATGGCCCTGCTTTGTGGTTCAGAATGGAGAACTCCAAGCCAGAGCTCCAAACCACAACTCCGACTACATTTCGTTTTAAGTGCAATGTTAGTTACAAGTAGGAGCTTCCAAGGAGCTACTCTGATACACCTCAGTTAAGTGTCAAGAGTGGGGCTGAAGGGGTGGCCTGGTTGGCTGTTCCAG